CAAGCCTGCTAATTGGCTCGCGGACATACTCAAAGTCGAGCCTGCTGATTGGCTCTCTGGTASTCTCCAAGATCATCCGCACCTGTTCAAAAAAAAAAAAAAAAAAGGGGGATCAAGCCTTCTAACATATATATATAAATATATACACTCATACACAGAGATAGAGAGGGAGAGAAGGGGGAGAGCGATCCCTCTCGACGGGAGCGGACACAATGGGATTTCTGCCTAGTGCTCTGAAGGATAAAGTGAAGAGATTCAACTGAGCGAGGGTAAATGGCTRGAGTAACTATGACTCTCTCAAGGTAGCCAAATGTCTGTCATCTAAATAGTGATGCGTATGAATGGATTAACGGGAACTCCCACTGCCCCTATTCTGCCAACCTGCAAAGCCACAGCAACTAGTTGGACGGAGATCAGAGTTGGACTTCGGTGKTATGAGACTGTGGTACTTACCGGATTGGAGGTTTGGAGATTGTTGGGGCTGATACTTGACGACAACGGTTCAGACACCGATTACATTTGGACTCTGTATCACCGACATTGGTGGCTTATGGTCCTCGACATTTTAATCTRGTTGGAGGACATTTTGGACTACTATATCGGCGATCTATCCGATCCTATCTCGGTGACTTTCGGTGTTATCTACCCCCCCCTCACCTTTTCGTCTCTCCTCCCCCATTCATGTGTATGTGTGAACGGGGGTTGACCGTCTTCTATGTATGGCTCAGGCCCCACCATCTTAGGATTGTATGTGTGTGGAGTGATACTATGCGAGACAGTCTGTGTGAGTCAGTCCATGTGAGTCAGTCCGTTTCCCAGACTTCTCCATTGAAGCTGCAACTGTGTTGAATTACGAGCAGTTTGTTAAACTTGTGAAATTACCGGTTGACTGATGAATTCTACTTCCGTGTGAACCCGCAGAAACAGGGTGCATGATACTGCGCCCCTCAACATTAATCCCCTGCCGATCGTTGAGGACCTCGGAAGCGGGCGCGGCGAAGTGACAGGCGCCGTGGCCCATGGCTTTGACGAACGACAGGCGCCCCTCCCCGGGTTTCCCCACACCGCGAACGATTGTCAGCAACGACCCTCACACACGTCATGTCATATGCAGGCCCTTTGCACCGACGGGCCGTGGTCGTCGATTGGGCAAATCGAATAGTTCCTGGACTCCCGCGCTTTTTCCTTTCGGTCCAATGGGCCAAAAGTTCCCGCCCCCCCACCCGGGCCGGCAATTTCGATTTCGAAAAAGGCCTTTCGTTCCGCGCGGAGAGCCCTTTGCGTGTCCAAGGCGTGCGAGCCTATGAAACGAATCTCGCCCCCCTAATGCTCATTTCACACTATCGCATGTCGTGGGGAGATGTTGTCGGACTAACCACTTGCACTCCCTCTCTCGTCAACACCATCGCCCGCGAACCGCATTGATTGACGCCATCGCAATCTCCAGCGCTGCGCCACGTCATCCAACCAGCGCAGAACTCGATAACCGCAGGCGATCGCAAGCAACACGCACGGCGACTGACGCCATCGCGATCTTCAGCGTTGCGTCACATCCTTTGCTGTCTGAACAGAGAACCCTCACGCTCTTGCATCGCAAAGCACCTTCCACGTCGCGTTGTCTTCCGTGCCAATCAGTGACCTGCTAACGAGCTTGTTGCACATGCGCGCTGCTCGTTGAACGCAAATCGTTCGTCGCAACACCACGCAAGTCGTGCCGCTTCCACTGCGATTTCCGCGACTTTAGTTTAGGTGCGAAGGATGTATTCTCCACACGACATCTTCATCGTGGTAAGTACCTGTCGAAAGGCTGACTGAAGGAATGCGACGTTCCTTTTCCCCGGCTCATTGTGCTTGCGCGTGTAAACACCCGCGGATGTGTGAGAGTGATGCCATGTGTGAGAGTGATGCCATGTGTGTGTGTATGTATGACTGTGCACGTTCGAGCGAGCTTTTGCATTTTCTCGTGCCCTGCTGTGCGCGCCTGCGTTCGGACGGGTGTCTGTTTGCGGCGACTTGCGTTATTTGCATGTGTTTTATTTGTTTCCTGTATTTGTCTATTTCCTGTATTGTTTCCTGTATTGCCCTTGCTTTCACGTGTGCTTTCATATGTAGATGTGTCAATGTGTGTGTGTGGAAAAAGTGTTGAACCCGGGCGGTTCCCCCAATGAGCCCCATCGTCACTAGGGAATCAATGATGAAATCAACCATTCGAGCAACCCATGATCAAATCAACCATTCCATGCAACCGATTGATTGGACGAGCCACCCTTCCATGGAAAGTTTGTGTGCGTGTGTGTGTACGGTTTCACGTTTGAGTGCGAAAGCGGGCGTTTACACGTGAGTATTATGCAAGTGAATCTTCCATTAATCGATATGGTCCATAAAAAGATAAGCAGTTGATTAAGACAAGGAAGCGATCAACCTAACATCGCACCCTCCGACTGAACAGTCGGTCGTTTGGTGAACAAATCGTTCCCGATAATGAGCTTGTCCATTGAGTTCAGTTTCGCAGATCTATACACGCTGTCGGAGGGCGCGGTGTGCCGGGACTCCCGGCCCTCGTCTGTGTGCCAATCTCCTACTCAGTACCTGTTCTTGCTCGGGTGCCCGCTACTCATCGGGTTGCTTCCGAGCCTGCGCGATGTTCCTTGTATACCCGAATGGTACCCTATTATGGACCAGTCTTGTTGGTGCTTGCCCCTGCAAAAAGGAAAGGGGGTGCGCCACTGGACTTTCCTTTGGTCCACACAGGCTCGGCGCCCTGCTGTACAGTAGAGCACTATCGGCCTGTGATCGTGGTAGCCTCCGGGCTCGCCCAGGGACGCGAAAGTAGATAGACCTACGTTGTCTTTTCTACTGTGTGCCGATCGCTCCTGGTCAGGTTATGGGTTAGGTACGCAGACTCGTTGTCACAGTCAAACAGAAAAAGGGGCAAAAGAAAAAGAAAGGAAAAAGAAAAAGTGGGATAAGAAGAGGAAAAGGAAGTCAGGTGTCAGTCCCGCGCGCAGATCTAGACCCTCGCTTTAGTCTGGGACGATCAAGTGATCGATGACCGCATAGGTGTTATGATTTTCGTTCCTTCCTTATTCTGTTATTGATTAATTCTATTATTATTTTTATTACTATTGTTACCAATCTTCTTATTCAGATTTTTCTTCCATCACTTCGCGGGAAGTCCAACGGTTCGAATTTCCAGTGTGGTTGTGGTCTGTGGCCTAGACTGGTCTGATCCCTCACTTTGTGCCGATGGTTGAGATTCGATCTGGCGCCGCGTGGTAGGACCCCAAAAGAGGGGCGACCCGCAGCCGCATCGGTAGGAGGCTTATCACCCCCGAGGAGGGTCATAAGCCCCCTCCTTACCATCGGACACGGGTACCCAATAGCGGTAAGCCGACTGCAGGTTTTAGAGAAGGACGTGCATCCGTCCGTATCCCGTTATGGGACCGTCGCGCCGGGTCTGCAGGTCACTTTCAAACTTGAGAAGAAGGGTTGTAGTGGTTGATAACAGAAGCTGGCAATATGACAGTTGATGTCATATCACTCGTCCTTCCTTCCTTTTCCTTTGTTCTGTTTATCACTTTTTATTAAATTTAAAAATTTAATCGATTAAAAGTGCAGAGCCCTGAGAGATATTTGGGTCCCTCATTCTGAGCGTGGGGTCGCGATAGATAGTGATCATCCTATAAGAAGAAATGGGACTGTCATTTGCTACTGGACATACACGATCTTGTTAGCGATCGTGACTGAGTTCTGAGGAGGGAACAGAGCGGTGAAGTGAGCACGCAAATCCGCCTGTGTGTGCGCGCTCGGAGCGTCGGGTTGTCTATCTCGGAGCTGGCAACCTGGTATTGTGCTCGGCCTGCTCGGGAAAAGCTCAGTCATGTTACAGAGTAGTGGGCTACACGGCTATAGGTCGACATACCTCCAGTTTGTCTGGAAGTGGGAGCCAATGTCGGGTGAGGGGCCTACTGTGACGGCTACCTTAGACTATAGCCGTCGCAATGAAGAGGTGAGATTGAGGGTTGACGTTGAGGGGGGAAGAGAAAAGGAGATGAGGGTTGATCAGAGACTGCAGCTGGCGATTATGGAGGCCAAGGACAGAGCCGAAAGGAGGTGCAGAAGGGATGGGGTCACTGATGAGCTAAAGGTGACCATTTCTTACCTGGACGTGAGGACCTCGACGGACATTGTGGAGCGTGAGCAGCTTCACCTGGACCGAGATTCAGAGGCGGAAAGTGAGGTTAGTGACCGGGAGACTGACCTCCAGTCCTGGAACAGACCGGACCAAGTTCGTAAGAACCACCCTCAGGCGCGACCAGTTGGGGAGGACCCAGAGGCCAGCTCCCGAGGGCGAGGCTTGTTTGCGGCAGAGAAGACCCGAAGGCTAAGGGGCAGTGGACACATGGGGGACGAGTGAGCGGGACGCGGGTTTGCAAGGTGCAGTTGACGTCAACTGTTGTCTCTACGTTCTTACGTTTTGCGTCAATTAAGCCGCGGTTAGCTTTTATGACAGGGGAAGAGGTCGTGCCGCACAAGAAGAGACGAGGTTGCATGTGAAGAGGGGGAGATGCGAGCGCGTTCTACACAGTGTGTAAGGGATTGGCATGGTGCTGCACTAATCATCTTATGCTGGGAGAAGGGATCAGTGAAAGGGAAGTGTTGTTAGTCTCCCGTGTGATGAGCAAAAGGGGGAACGTGCCGTTAAAATTTTATTGATGACAACTACTCATGTGCATGGTTTTAGTTAGCGAGATACAGCGGGGTGATAGTGGCATACCGAGAGAAGGAGAGTCCAACAGTCGCACACTGAATGGTGACCTCAAGATTTTGCTTTTTCCGAGAGCGAGAATAAACGAGTTCTTTTCGCTGGCATTTTAAGTAAGAGTGCACGGTAACTACTCTCTTTCTTGATTGAGTACTTTGTGAGCTAGCCTTGTGGCAGCCGCTGGTTAAGATGGTGACAATGGAAAACTGTATTAAATACAAATTACGAGCGGGCCCTCGTTAGGTTGAATAAAGAACATTTGTTTAGTGAGTACGAGCAAAATGATGATGTCTGTGGCAACAACTGTGAGGTGATATGGCTACTTTATGCTTTTGAGTATGTGTAAGAAATTAACGACGGTGTAAGAGAAAGCGTCGATTTAAATCGAGGACTAAGGTATGTGCTAATTACGAAGGTTGATTGCAGCGGATAAGAGTCTACTGAGTCGGATGGGGGTCCGAACCTCGCGAGTGTTTGTCAGAGTTGAGTAGTCTGAAATGTTGCTTTCGGCATTTGTTGCTTTATTCGCTAGCTCTCTATATTCATGTGTGACGGATCGTCAGACATCTCCTTACTCGTCCTAGCAAGCCAGAAGTGGCCAAAGGCGTGTATCTCACGACTGATAGATACAATTAGTAGGGGCAATCACAAACGGAAAGAAAAGAATAACTATTGGAGTGATAATGTGCGAGTGATGAGGGTAAACGAGTGAGCGTGCTATTGCAGAATTCTGAGCCCTTCTCCCCTATGAATTTCGTCTACTCTGCTCCAGTACCCCAGAAAGCAGGCATGCCCCACTGATGAGTTGCTCGGACTGATGTCGTTGGCCATGACCATGCCCCGTTTTCATGAGCGCAAAGTAATGATGGGAAAGTCCTGAGTCAATCAAGCGATAATTTTCGTTGTCAGTAATTCGATCAGAAAAGACCCTGCCTGTTAATGACTTCTCTCGGTGGGTCCGGGATTTCAGAGGGAATAAAGGTTCGCCGGTGTTCCCTCTTTATTTGGTTGATGGGAAAAAGGAAAGTAATATTGAAAAGAATCGCCTACCTTCTCGCTAAGTTTTTATTTGATGGTGATTGAATGGTCCTGCACTGTTTTCGTCATGCTAACGGTGGACTAACATATACATACACGTTTCTGATGATGATCAGGTGAGGGGCGCTTGGTTAAACTCTCGCATCATAAGTTAGCAGAGGCTACGTAAAAAACTAGGTGTTGTAGGAGAATGAAGTACATGCTGGGCGACGTCCCGCCCCTCGTGAGAACGGGGTTAGAGTCTGACGGCACACCAGTGCTACTCATGAACATCAGTTGTGCTTGACGCCTCGTTGTGCAGGGTACGGGCTGGGTTCACATTTGGCGACTCAATGTGCTCAGGGTTTTGACTTGTGTTGACTTGTTAAGCGTAGACCCAGTGTTTACACTCAGCTATACTACAACTACAGCACACACGCTTCCCGTATTCGTAGCTTTGAGCAAGAACAAGTTCACATTCGGGATTATGATACTTGGGTACTGAATAACCTCGCTATTTGACCTATTGAGCTGAGTGCTTTCAGGCCACGTGCTCTGAGTTCTTATAATAAGAGTGATCAGGAACGAGCCCTAGCACGAGGTACGTTTGCAACGCGATCTGACTACTGTACGTTTTGCTGACTGAGTCAGAGGCTTACTATTGCTGAGTGCGACGATCGCAGATCAACTGCCCCAGTCTCTTGTTCAGAGGCCGCTAGAGTGAGGCCCGTATAGGAGAAGGGGAAACCCGGAGATATGATCAACTAAGCTCCTTTCCCTCGTCTTAATCACCTTTTACTAACTGACCGGGCGAAGTCAAGCCATACTTGTGATTAACGGGATTTCAAGATCATGTAGAGTAATCTGGACTGATGCAGGCTGATGTGGGAGCAATCCTTCTTATGCCTGTGTCGAGTGAACTGTTGATAAGTCGTACTTCACTTGTATTGAGGGAGTGCACCAAGCAAACTCTTGAGAGTTACCAAGGCGCCAATTATCATCCGCCTCTATATTCCGACATGTTAAAAAAAAAAAAAAAAGTCATGAGGGACTTAGAGGTATTAGTGATGAAATCCGAGTTTAGTGTGGACAAGCATGAGGGCTGGGAAAATGAGGTTTATATGTGCATGGAAGCTCAGAAACTTATTTTGAGAGAGGAAGAGATCCAGAGAGTGAGAGAGGAAAAATACATAGAGTATGTGTTCTACTTCTGTGATCAAAACGGCAAGCTGCATAGTACAGGCTCTTCACTAGAGACCGATGAGCAGGCAAAGGCAAAGATCAAGTGAACACAAATGTGCCCGGATTCCTTTCCCCAACAGTCAGTCACCGTTCAACCAGTATTTTAATCAACAGTGAGTCAGCATTCAACCAGTATTTAATGAACAGTCAGTCAACATTCAACCATTATTTTCATCAACAATCAGTCAGCGTTCGACCAGTATTTAATCAACAATCAGTCACCGTTCTATCGACATTCCACTGATAATCAATCAGCATTTAATCTTCATTCAATCAGCGCTAAATTGTTTGAGTTCCTATCAATAGACTCATATGTTTCGACACCCACTTCAGCATATAAGTACGATACAATCATTCTTGGTTCCAAAAACTGTCCTCAACAGTCTCAACAAGGTCTCCTCCAAGGATGCCATCCAGTATAGATATGTCAGTGTCACTGGTTTCAGACAGAGTGACTTGACAATCTATGTCGTCCTTACCCATTTTACAGGCAGTGTTATTTACGACCGGAGACTCTATGTCAAAAGGGGTAAGGAGGCTCACGAGCACTTCGACTCAGTCTGGGTCTCGACAGCCAGGTACCTTCAGGAGAGAGAGTGAGCTAGATGAGGGTGGTACTAAGCTGATCCAAAGCTTCGGACCAAAGTTCTACTCAGACTATCCCAGGCCTCCAGTACCCTTTACTCTTATAGACGGCTCATGTTGGGGCGATCTGGTGGACCTGGCAAGGAGATACATCTCACCTGCAGCGATCGATTATGAGTCAGTGACTGAGCCTTCCGAGTTCCCACATCTTCGACGAGGGGTTTTCTCTCAACCGTACCTTCCTACACTATGGGAGGAGTTTTGTGCCATGGTTGACTTCCGTATCATGGGACTTGGATGTAAGTGTTCAGAGCTTGCAGGCTTCAGGTGGCTCTACATACAGAGACCTCAATCTCAGAAAGTACGGAGACATGGCCGAAAGCACAAGAAACAGACAACTAAATGAGAGATTGTGAGTGTGATCAAGAGGGATGAGTGAGGACTCGAGATTAGTGCTGGCTATGCTCTCCTTCATGTGTACTTCCTGAGACTATTATGAGTTCTCATTCTTCCCTCATCTGACTTTGTCATTATTTGAGTCAGTCGGTCGTGCTTCTTTGCCTTGCATTGCTATTGATTGTTTTTCTTGATGATTCTGTCACAGCTCTCAAAATCAAAAAATTGGTAAAGTTGATGCATGCATGACACACTAGAATTTCATGAGTATTATCTGCATTACCATTGCTGTTCCGAATCATAATTAAAGATTTCTAAGATCTGGGACCAAAGAAGACCGCAATTGATGGGTCTCGGTCGAAGTTGGACGCACACAACAGAAAGGGATTTGCTTTATTTAATCTATTTTCTTTATTGCAAGCAAGCATCCAAAAATCCTGCGTGACAGCCTATTGGTTTTCCTGTCGCCCGAAGAGGTCTGACTGGAAAAAGTGCGACAACGAGCGTGTTTGGTCTGTGTAAACGAACGGGCATGGACATGTCGAGCAAGCTCATTATCGGGAACGATTTGTTCGTCAATCCACCGATTGATCATTCGGAGGGTGTGCTGTTTGTCACAATCAACCAGTGTTTGCACTGGTTTGATAGAACAAGCCGATCGATCAGCACATCACCATCTAAAGTCATTGTGGTCAGAAGACCGTTCAGCCTATAGCAAACTAGTGAAGAGTCGAAGTCAGTCGACCAGTTGATAACATCAACAGAGCGCCCAAGCAAGTGAGCAACCCATATCAAATGCAGACCAAACCATCGTGTATGTTTCAGTCTGTATGTGTGTGCGTGTGTGCATAAATACGCCTCGCTATTGTCACACCACACGATCCTCAGCAAAGAAAACACGCTATCGCCGATCAATGAAAACATGACCGCCCTTCCAATCAACTAGTTCATCGAGGAACAGAGCATGGTCGAGATTGATGAACTGTCCTGATTGAGTGATCGTGTGTGTTTTTATTATTCAGGCTTTTATGCATGGTCATCGGACATTATCGAACCTTGTTCGTCATCGACATTATCGAAAATCGAACAGTGTCCATCGGATCTTCTCTAGCACGGCCATCGGACATTATCGAACCTTGTTCGTCATCGAACCACATTGGACTCCATTCACTTTCGCAGAACGCGCAGTGTTTAATCCAAACCACAAAGGAGGCATTTCGAACACCCCGACCAAGCGCTGTCGCGATCCCAACTCGAAACATCGCCACAACATTGCGGGGTCCAATCCCAAGCGCGGAAGGCCGTAGTGACTGAAGACCATGCGTGAATGCACGAAGTCCACCGACATCCGAACTTCACATATCAACCATCATTGGCAACAAATGAAGTTCGGATGACGGCGGTCCTGGCGGTCCTCCTTGTAGCTCGTCGGCAGTTATCCCATCTCACCAGCATTTGAAGTTAAGATGCCGACGAAGTTTGCGTTTCTACTAAACCCCCTCTGGAACCAGGGTCTTCCTTGTCCAGGACGGGAGTGGAGGACAAAAGAACTTCGTCGGCATCCAAACTTCATGTTTTGTCCGTGTGGGCTGACTCAAGAAGTCCGCCCGCATCCGAACTTCAGTGATTGGCCTACACTGGGTCCAAACTTCGCGTTTCGGCTGCAGGGGCTGACTGGAAAAGTCCGCCCGCATCCAAACTTCAACAATCGAGCTGCTTTGTTGCTGAACATTTGTAGTTCGCTGACATCCGAACTTCACATATTCACCGCCATTGGAAGTAGGGTCTTCCTGCTCCGGCACGGGAGGGGAGGACAAAAAAACTCACCGGAATCCGAACTTCGCGGTTTCTCAGCTAGGCCTAACTTAAGTAGTCCGACCACATCCGAACTTCAATGACTGGCATACGCTGCATCCTCACTTCGCGTTCCGGCTGCGGGGGCCAACTGAAGAAGTCCGCCCGCATCCGAACTTCAATGATTGGCCTCCATCGTTGCTGGATTTTTGTCGTTTGCCGGTATCCGGACTTGGATCGTGTCTAAACTGTGCAACTGGAGAGACAAGGGTGCAGTCTAATAGTTAGGATGCCGGCGGACTACCACACTTGCACCAGCTCGACAATACGTGAGGCTCTGAGGCAAAAGAACATCAGGTCCACGACCATCCAATTCGTCAAGTTAGCCTGCACCCTTGCCGCACCTTCCGCAATGTTTTGACAATTATTCTAGTTGGGATACCGACGATCGGCAACTGCTTAGCAACACAGTAGGCCAGTCATAGAAGTTCGGATGCAGAGTAGGGCAATCATTGCAGTTCGGATCCGGGCGGACTTCTTCGATCGGTCCCCACATAGAAAACGTGAAATTCAGTTGCCGGCGAACTTCATCCTCCCGTGCTCGACCAGAAAGAGCCTAGTTGAAGTGGTGGTTATGTGGAAACACGAAGTTCCCTGCATCGGAATAAGTCCGGAGCGTAGATGTGTAGTTTGGTGAGAAAGGATGATTGTTGACGAGCCGCCAGGAATACCGACAAGTCCGCTGGCGTCCGAACTTTATTCGTTGCCAATGGTGGTGCACATATGAAGTTCGGGCCACGAAGATGTGCTGCTTGTCGGGTGGACTCTAACGACGGCGGACTCTGGCATCGGTTCCGTTGCCAGGGCGGCGTGAGCTTCGAACAGCGTCACCCTGCGATTCCCATTGCACAGGCCGACAATATGAGTCTGGCGGAATACGAACTTCGAAAATTCAAGTCTCGTTAATGGAGCACACGCCGGGGCTCCGAACGGCTTCAGTCCCGATGTGTTTGTCAGCCGGCCACCTACAAGAAGTGCCAAACAGTCGGCACTTGTCTTTGCGGACTGCCAAAAACACTCTTAGGGGACCTTGGTGGTCAATTGCTAGGGCCCCCTTAAAATTGTTGGATTTGAATCTGTTTTGAGCAGAGTTTCGCACTCCATAAGCAGAATTCCCCTCCAGTTCTCGCAGGTTAACAGTTATTCGGGAAGTCGTTCGCGATGCTGAA